TCTTTTCCTGTGAAGGCATGGTCATGAAATTAAACATTAAACACACGACGTAAGATGAGTGAAATAAGTTCGAATCGGCCTTGAGTTAAGCCTAACTCACTCACTCGTCCAGAGACTCACACAACGCACCATAGTTATTATATATTCCACAGGTTTTGTTTACCCTGTACAACGTACACATCTTTACCTGGGAGAGTCGGGGTTGACCTGCTTCAACAAATACACCAGTAGGTATATCATAATGTCTTGGCTGGATATCGTCCTTGTAACCGATTATGTAAAGCGCGGATTAAACGAGAAAACCTCATAGGCCAAGGTCACCTTATAGGCCAAGGTCAAGGCGAGCGAGGTCAGGACAAAGTTACCCGAGTTACCGGATTGACCTTACATAGTTAACATCGTAAACAAAGCACATGGAAGTAACAGGCCTACATACAAACAATGAAACATTCTGGTAGTTTAGAAACCACGAAAAACCTAGTCATCATCCACCAGTGGCACCCGTCACAAACATACGCAAGGGCTAGTCTCAATTTTTCAACTGAAAACACGGTAACAAATGGCACAAGTTAGACAATTACATCAGTCATAATACATGCGAATCCACCAAAGTGGAACTTCTAGAACTGAATGTAGATTGTTTTGATGTGGCTGCATGTATCGTTTGCACTTCATTTGCCAAGGTGTAATTCTGTGTACTAAGATCATACTAGCAAATGGGTTTTCACGTATAGTATCATATGTTAAGATCATACTAGCAAATGGGTTTTCACGTATAATATCATATATTCAGATCATGCTAGCAAATGGGTTTTCACGTATACCGTAGTATCATATATTAAGATGATGCTAGCAAATGGGTTTTCACGTATAGTATCATATATTAAGATCATACTAGCAAATGGGTTTTCACGTATAGTATCATATATTAAGATCATACTAGCAAATGGGTTTTCACGTATAGTATCATATATTAAGATCATACTAGCAAATGGGTTTTCACGTATAATATCATATATTCAGATCAAGCTAGCAAATGGGTTTTCACGTATACCGTAGTATCATATATTAAGATGATGCTAGCAAATGGGTTTTCACGTATAGTATCATATATTAAGATCATACTAGCAAATGGGTTTTCACGTATAGTATCATATATTAAGATCATACTAGCAAATGGGTTTTCACGTATAGTATCATATATTAAGATCATACTAGTAAATGGGTTTTCACGTATAGTATCATATATTAAGATCATACTAGCAAATGGGTTTTCACGTATAGTATTATATATTAAGATCATGCTAGCAAATGGGTTTTCACGTATAGTATCATATATTCAGATCATGCTAGCAAATGGGTTTTCACGTATAGTATCATATATTCAGATCATGCTAGCTAATGGGTTTTCACGTATAGTATCATATATTAAGATCATGCTAGCAAATGGGTTTTCACGTATAGTATCATATATTAAGATCATGCTAGCAAATGGGTTTTCACGTATAGTATCATATATTAAGATCATGCTAGCTAATGGGTTTTCACGTATAGTATCATATATTAAGATCATACTAGCAAATGGGTTTTCACGTATAGTATCATATGTTAAGATCATGCTAGCGAATGGGTTTTCACGTATAGTATCATATATTCAGATCATGCTAGCAAATGGGTTTTCACGTATAGTATCATATATTAAGATCATGCTAGCTAATGGGTTTTCACGTATAGTATCATATATTAAGATCATGCTAGCAAATGGGTTTTCACGTATAGTATCATATATTAAGATCATGCTAGCTAATGGGTTTTCACGTATAGTATCATATATTAAGATCATACTAGCAAATGGGTTTTCACGTATAGTATCATATATTCAGATCATGCTAGCTAATGGGTTTTCACGTATAGTATCATATGTTAAGATCATGCTAGCTAATGGGTTTTCACGTATAGTATCATATATTAAGATCATGCTAGCAAATGTGTTTTCACGTATAGTATCATATATTCAGATCATGCTAGCAAATGGGTTTTCACGTATAGATTCATATATTCAGATCATGCTAGCAAATGGGTTTTCACGTATAGATTCATATATTAAGATCATGCTAGTAAATGGGTTTTCACGTATAGATTCATATATTAAGATGACGCTAGCAAATGGGTTTTCACGTATAGTATCATATTTTAAGATCATGCTAACAAATGGGTTTTCACGTATAGTATCATATATTAAGATCGTGCTAGCAAATGGGTTTTTACGTATAGTATCATATGTTAAGATCATGCTAGCTAATGGGTTTTCACGTATAGTATCATATGTTAAGATCATGCTAGCAAATGGGTTTTCACGTATAGTATCATATATTCAGATCATGCTAGCTAATGGGTTTTCACGTATAGTATCATATGTTAAGATCATGCTAGCTAATGGGTTTTCACGTATAGTATCATATATTAAGATCATGCTAGCAAATGGGTTTTCACGTATAGTATCATATGTTAAGATCATGCTAGCTAATGGGTTTTCACGTATAGTATCATATGTTAAGATCATGCTAGCAAATGGGTTTTCACGTATAGTATCATATATTCAGATCATGCTAGCTAATGGGTTTTCACGTATAGTATCATATATTAAGATCATGCTAGCTAATGGGTTTTCACGTATAGTATCATATATTAAGATCATGCTAGCAAATGGGTTTTCACGTATAGATTCATATATTAAGATCATGCTAGCAAATGGGTTTTCACGTATAGATTCATATATTCAGATCATGCTTGCTAATGGGTTTTCACGTATAGATTCATATATTAAGATCATGCTAGCAAATGGGTTTTCACGTATAGATTCATATATTAAGATGACGCTAGCAAATGGGTTTTCACGTATAGTATCATATGTTAAGATCATGCTAACAAATGGGTTTTCACGTATAGTATCATATATTCAGATCATGCTAGCAAATGGGTTTTCACGTATAGTATCATATATTAAGATCATGCTAGCAAATGGGTTTTCATGTATAGTATCATATATTCAGATCATGCTAGCAAATTGGTTTTCACGTATAGATTCATATATTAAGATCATGCTAGCAAATGGGTTTTCACGTATAGATTCATATATTAAGATGATGCTAGCAAATGGGTTTTCACGTATAGTATCATATATTAAGATCATGCTAGCAAATGGGTTTTCACGTATAGATTCATATATTAAGATGATGCTAGCAAATGGGTTTTCACGTATAGTATCATATGTTCAGATCATGCTAGCAAATGGGTTTTCACGTATAGTATCATGTATTAAGATCATGCTAGCAAATGGGTTTTCACGTATAGTATCATATATTAAGATCATACTAGCAAATGGGTTTTCACGTATAGTATCATATATTAAGATCATGCTAGCTAATGGGTTTTCACGTATAGTATCATATATTCAGATCATGCTAGCAAATGGGTTTTCACGTATAGTATCATATATTAAGATCATACTAGCAAATGGGTTTTCACGTATAGTATCATATGTTAAGATCATGCTAGCTAATGGGTTTTCACGTATAGTATCATATATTAAGATGATGCTAGCAAATGGGTTTTCACGTATAGTATCATATATTCAGATCATGCTAGCTAATGGGTTTTCACTGTATAGTATCATATGTTAAGATCATGCTAGCTAATGGGTTTTCACGTATAGTATCATATATTAAGATGATGCTAGCAAATGGGTTTTCACGTATAGTATCATATATTCAGATCATGCTAGCTTATGGGTTTTCACGTATAGTATCATATATTAAGATCATGCTAGCAAATGTGTTTTCACGTATAGTATCATATGTTAAGATCATGCTAGCAAATGGGTTTTCACGTATAGTATCATATATTCAGATCAAGCTAGCAAATGGGTTTTCACGTATAGTATCATATATTAAGATCATGCTAGCAAATGGGTTTTCACGTATAGTATCATATGTTAAGATCATGCTAACAAATGGGTTTTCACGTAAAGTATCATATATTAAGATCATGCTAGCAAAACGGTTTTCATGTATAGATTCATATATTCAGATCATGCTAGCAAATGGGTTTTCACGTATAGTATCATATGTTAAGATCATGCTAGCTAATGGGTTTTCACGTATAGTATCATATATTCAGATCATGCTAGCAAATGGGTTTTCACGTATAGTATCATATATTCAGATCATGCTAGCAAATGGGTTTTCACGTATAGTATCATATATTCGGATCATGCTAGCTAATGGGTTTTCACGTATAGTATCATATGTTAAGATCATGCTTGCTAATGGGTTTTCACGTATAGTATCATATATTCAGATCATGCTAGCAAATGGGTTTTCACGTATAGTATCATATGTTAAGATCATGCTAGCAAATGGGTTTTCACGTATAGTATCATATATTAAGATCATGCTTCAATACAGATCATGCATTAATACATGTAACGTATTGTATATAGTTTGATACACCAAGATCATGCTGCCAATGTTCCCGTACATCACTGTATACAGAGACCATTTTAACTGAAGTATATTCATGTACATAACTTATTTATTAAAAAATCTAGGATCACAAGAAATCTGTGATGAAAGCGGAGTCCATTGTACAATCCGACAGTAACATGAGCATGTGATGACGACAGTGTTGACACCAGGTGTTCGCGAATTGGGGAACTTATCCCAGACTACTTGTGACATCCGGCAAACATACATGCAAAGGCAGGTCAATTATTCAACTGATATATCACAGGAACATATGGAACAAGTCAAAAGAGAGACATACTTTTTCTCACTGACGTGTCAAAGTTTGAAATTTTGAAACCAAATGCTGTAGAATTGTCTACACATACATCTGAAGCTGTTGAACAACACAGGGAGAAGTTGGAGTCCCTCTTGTCAGACAGTCTTGTGGAGAGTTTTCCTGTTATTAAGAATCTACAAATGGAACAAATGAGACGGTTTCACTGAAGTCCTTTATTTGTAGTTCAGGTGGTTAATTCAGTTGATGGACATGAACCTTTGACCATGATTCAACCATCGGGTCACAAAGTATTTTTTATAATTTATACATGTTTATACTGTTTATACTAAGATCAGCTATCAAATGTATTTCGAAGCATGTCATTTTGATTTATGTACATGTCATATTATGCTTTCATCAGCTAAACTCACTTATATAACTCTATATGGCGGGGGATGTAACTATATGTCTGCTGATTGTACATCTAATTTAAACAAACAATAATTCAACAAACTAGATGTGAAACACGTCACCAAGAGCTCATTCTGAACATTCTTGAGCTGTCAAGTCAAGTACACTGTTGTACAAAAGAAAGTACACATCTGGTGTATTGAGACTATTCCCAGATAAACAAATATTTTGCTAGCAACATTGTAATTGAGTACGATATTTGGTGTTATTGCAACACATACACAAATTTGTGACTTGAAATTTACAATCAAAACACTTTTTTAATTTTAACGCTGTTTTTAAGAAAATATTTTACCAAAGCATCAGGTGTATACTTTCTTTTGTACGTCAGTTTAGTTAGGTCCTCAATTTGTATGACGGCCAATATATACATATAGTATAATACGTTTACATCGAACGTGAATTACATATAATATTCATGGATGTAAAATATAGGTTTTAGATATGCTACAGATTTCAAACATATTGTTCAAATATATCTAAATAAATCATTTAATACATCATTAGAGTTTGATTTCAATAGCTGCCTAAATTTGTGGATATTAACGTTGTGGTGACACGTACGTGGTAGTTAACGCTGTCTTTAATTCCTGTAGTATATATATACAAGGATAAAATGCTACTCATGCTGTCAGCATGTGACGGTTGTCTTTCTGAACAACCCTCTAAGGTCCCATTTATGACATCACACGGGATAATATTTGACACCGGGAAGAATACAAAGCATCTCAAACAAGAAATGTGCTGCTACCATTGACGTCATATCATGGTTGTCATAGGGCGGCGACACCTGCAGTGGAAACAAGACACTGTCTACTGTCAACACAGGTAGCACATTATCACAGGGACAACAGCGATACAATAATGCATATTAATAATGGATAAGTCATTTTAGTTAATTGAGTTTCCAGTAGATGTGAATAAAGTTTGACATCTTACCTACTGAAGCCCAAGACTACCCTGAATAGACGGATGTAACATAGGAATAAAGGAGCCCGTGTTTACTTCACCTATACATCATATCACAATGAATTGGTCCATTGTATGTAATTTTTGGAAATAGAATTCTTAATTGTTTAAACATCTACGTCACTTTAGCTCATTTCACGGAATGACACATTTAATGAACGGTTTCAAGCTATGCACTGCACTTCATGTGCACAGAGTTTAGTGGCAGTGCTTGTAAGAGTTGTTTTTAAAACTTATTAATATATGAATTCTAAGAAAGGTATTTGTGATAAACATTTACAAAATTCATGGTGATAACAAAAAACAAACAATCTCCATGGCTGTAGAAACATGAGCAGCTGCTTGTTGAAAAGAAAGACAAGTTGCCACTTATAAATCGCTGATGCAAAACCAGCTGTAATACCCGGATGTTGGTGAAACACTAGAAACAATCTGTTATGGTGTAAACGTTACCTCAACAATACCGCCGCCGATGACGTTGAGGCCTCTGCAGCCCCGGATCACCTCCAACACTTGTATCGTCGTCAGTCCACCGATCTCCAATGTCCCTGCGTAAATGGATAACCACTTTAATGACACATTGACCGGGAAATAAAGGGCAGCAGTATGTTTATTACAAGTATTTCATTCAACATTCTCTTTAGGCAAATGATCTTAGACGAGGCGGTATATTGTCCGGAGTTGTGTCCCTCCTGTATGCCAGGATCCGCTAGTAACTAGGCACACATCGTTTGTCTGTCTCGTGGGTTTCACCACGTGGGTGTTTTCTACTTGTTCACTTTTAACTTTCTTCTCACATGTAGCGGAGACTCTGTCTTATGTTACTGGATTTCCCCTTCAAACCAGTTTTAAACCATACAAAGGTTCATTTCAGAGTCAATGGCCATGAATTCACACATGCATGTGCACACATGCAGGATTGCGTTTTCACAAAAGAGCGTACTGCATGCACCCCGCGTGGTTCATCACAGTCGAAATGAGCGAATGCATCAGGCTAGATCTAGTCATTATGGCATTCGTCCAAATCAACTTCCTTCTACCACCTATTTTCAATATAAATCATTTCTCCAAGTGTGAAGCTTCCTATTCCGTTCAGTATATGTAGTAGTTTTGGTTCTGTGTAAACAATGGAAATGCGTTTTAAATTTTCATCTCAACTATAGTGTGTTTATCCAAAAGGGTATACATGTATCTTATATATGACAAAAGATACATATACCTCCTGAATTTCATTACTGTATGTCAGGGTCCCTGGATGAAAGTTGTGAGGGCTGTTTCATGGAGCCCCCTTACCAACAGCTAACACACTCGTCATCACGCGTCTCGTCTTCAGCTTCCTCCAACATCATCAATATTGTCTTCCTCTCCACGCGCACACGCACGCACGCGTACACGCACACGCACATCCAACGTGCGTAGCTAGATAATTTATGCTTAACAGGGTCCTATGTACAGTTAACGCAGAGGATAAGGGCAGGTCATAAGAACATCGCTGGGTCTGTATCTTGGGCTAAATGAGTTTTAAGACGTAAGCCGATACCGTCAAGGTGGAACATTTGTACGAACCAAAATGATAGGGTCATTAGCTGACGGGAGGTTTTCGTTACCTCGAATACAGCTCCGAACATTTACATATTTACGTTTGTTCTGCGAGAATGTAATGTGGCTGACATTGGTGTTTACTACATGTTTATTCGCTGCTGCCCGTTCAAGGTTCGAAGCTGTTTTTTGCATTGTCTACGAAGAAGATTCATTTTGTATCACAGGCAGATGAAGTTAAACTTCAAATAAATTGTGTTCATTTGTTATCATAATAATGAAGATGGAAATATTAATGAACTACAATTGCGCTTGCGGGTGGCGCAGCAGAAATCGCAACCCAGTCACGAATTCTGGGATATCATCCGGGTAGTCGCGGGGGGAAAACAATAACAAAAGCAACAACCAGTCCCGGGCAATTGCTCTTGATCAGTGTTCCTTTAATAATATTTACCCAACACGGAGCCGACGTGTCTCGTATGTTACACGTGTTACGAATCGAACGAATGTTGTCATTTGGTCTCCTGTGAGCAGGAATGTTTGTATCAAGTATTTTGTTCAAATACCTGAACTTTTGAGGTTTTGTACATATCTCAGAACCATTCCAACTAAACGTAAATAACAAACTAATCAAGTGACATCTCTGTTGATTTGTTCATTACTCTTTATTACGTCATCATTTCGCCTGCCGTTCTACAGTCGTGATTATTACATATTAATCAGGAAGCCGGATAAATTTAATCGAGTCTAGCCCAGGTAAAACAGTGGTTGATATTGTGAGCACATTCCAATGTCGTCAAGGTACGATGATAATCGCCATATCCAGCCTGACAATCCGATCCAAATGGGTAAATATGTGTGCGTGCGTGAGACCGTGCGTCCGTGTTTAATGACAACCGCTCTCTGAGGGATGGTGTACTCCAATTATTATCAAACAGAAGGTTCAGGTTTCCTTATTTTGTGACAAAGGACTTGGTTTTATTATCGCCAAATGAGGTCAAAAGACGCTTGAGTTAACCAACCTATCACCTTACATCTTGCATGGCTTCATTTACCAGTTTTCATACGTGGGGCGTCACAGTTATAACCTTGTCTAATTGGTTCTCGTTTCACATCAAAACCAATCATCAAAGTATTACCTGCCCCTGGAGCGTACGAAGGGTCAAGGGCGTCGATGTCAAAGTCCACATATACGGGTACATCGCCCATCATGTCTCTTACTTCTTCCATGAGAGGTTTAAGGGACTTGTGCCAACATTCCTCCGCGCGGACCACACGGAAACCCTTAAGAAACAATATTGCAGTATTTAATGTAGAGTTAAATGATATTGGTGCAAACAGATACTTTGTGATTTAATTGAGTTTAGTCTGTGATTGGTTGGCTTTCAATTCCTGTTTAGCCTTTCAGTTTGACTATCGGTCAGCATCTGTTTATCTGGCGTTAAGCTGCTCAAATTACTGGGGTATATTTTGTGCAATAATTTACAAATCAAAATCCCCTTCTCTGTAAAAGAAAGCACAGTCTCATCTCAACTTCAGCATCCACCTACAGCATTCACATTGAGTATGGATTGTCGGTTTACCTGATCAATGCCCCACTGTATATTGTCCATGGAGAATCCTGCTCCACGTATGCCAATCTGCACCGTCTTCTCGGGTACGATACAACCTTCGTCAAAGGCACGTCTGATGGCGGTGGAGTGGTTGATCCTGTCCCCTGCTATACTGTCCGATGTATCCCTGTGGGCGTCAAGCTGTATCAGGCCCATAGGTCCATGCTTCGCCTGAATAATAATGATAATCATCTTCGTCTTCATCATCATCATCAACATCATCATCATCATCAGTGGTTACTTCATAGTTTCACTCTATTAGAGATGTTCTTTATTATCGAGGGGGCGGTGGAGTAGCCTAGTGGTTAAAGCGTTGGCTCGTCACGCCGAAGACCCGGGTTCGAATATGGGTACAATGTGTACAGCCCATTTCTGATGTAGCTGGAATATTGCTAAAAGCGACGTAAAACCAAACTCAGTCAGTCAGTCTTTATTATCGAAAATAACAATGAATATGTGTTTGATCAGAAGAATCGTAATGATCACAATAAAAAACAGTCAAAACGATAACTTGGCATTACGATCCGACAAATACTAGTATGTAAATGACACTAAAGAGGAACTACTTTGTACATCGATGTGACGCTTACATGCTGAAACACAAAAGAACAACGTCGCCTTTCGATGAAATAGAAGTGCACAGCAGTGATAATCCAGCGGCCTGTAGACAATAGTCCAGACAATCCAGTGATTGACATTGCGAACAACGATCAATGCTGCCACCCAACCAAATCCCAGTCTGACACCCGACTCACCGAGTGGCCTCACAAGACCAGTATGGCCTCTGAGAACCTGTTCTATCCCGGGATTGCATGATAAAGATTACATTATTACCCTCGTTTGTTTCCGTGTCGTAAATTAAGTAAACTTCTCGCTACATCATACCATTGCTAGCACTGACCCAGCATTAGTGTCACCATGTGACTTCAAGTGGAGCGAGTAAAATCGAGATATAGGACCTAGTGATAGCATGTGTCTTTGAGTAGATCTTTTGTATTCAACAGAAATGATGGAAATCATTTCGATTCTATTATATTTTGTATCGACTTAATATTTGGTGATATTTTATTGACAAAATTTATTATCTGGCATCAAATAGAACACTAGTATTACACTTACATTGTTTTGATGCTTCTTAAAATGAAATGTACACGCATTAAGACACAATCAGTGTAAATTGTATGTATATTTAACAGTCAGGCTGGAGAACACATTCAGTGTGTATTTTGTTTGTACACAATCCATGTATATACAGTGTAAACAAGTATATAGTTCACCTAGCTGAAGAAACATTGAACACCCGTGTATTGTGTTCACCACACGACGTCTTACAATGTACTCTCGTCCACAGCAGTACAATACAGATGACTCAGTCACTGTCTCCCGACTAATGGTATCATTGACTGTATCACACTGTCTCAGTCACTTAAACACTGTCTCACTCACTTAAACACTGACTCACTTAAACACTGTCTCACTCACTTAAATACTGTCTCACACTTAAAACACCCTCACCTGCTTAAACACTGTTTCATTCACTTAAATACTGTCACACTTAAACACTGTCTCACTCACTTAAACTCGGCCTCCCTCCCTTAAACACTGTCTCATTCACTTAAATACTGTCACACTTAATTTCTGCCTCCCTCTCTTAAACACTGTCTCACTCACTTAAACACTGTCTCACTCACTTAAACACTGTCTCACTCACTTAAACACTGTCTCACTCACTTAAACACTGTCTCACTCACTTAATTAACTTAAATACTGTCTCACTCACTTAAACACTGTCTCACTCACTTAAACACTGTCTCACTCACTTAAACACTGTCTCACTCACTTAAACACTGTCTCACTCACTTAAACACTGTCTCACTCACTTAAACACTGTCTCACTCACTTAAACACTGTGTCACTCACGTACACATTGTCTCACTCTCAAACACTGTCTCACTCTCAGTTAAACACTGCCTCACTCACTCACACTGTCTCACTCACTCACACTGTCTCACTCAGTTAAACGCTGTCTCACTCACTTAAACATTGTCCCACTCACTTAAACACTGCCTCACTCATTTAGACAAAGCTAATTGTCTAATTCAGTGTTTCACCCGCCGTCTCACTTAAACAATCACTCACTAACTCATTCTCCCACCGCTCACTCACTCATACTGTTTCACGCACTCATATTGTCTCACTAGCTCACGTAGTCTCACTTAAATACTGTCTCACTCACTCACTTATACAAGTCTAATTGTCTAATTCTTGTCTCATACGCTGTCTCACTCTGTCAGTCACTCACTCACTCTTTACCTTCAAAGCCTGTAGTATAGTATATGTGATAGTGTGATCGCCCCCTATCGCCAACGGGACTCACTCACTCACTCATTCATTTACTCAACCTTTACCTTCAAAGCCTGTAGTATAGGGTATGTGATAGTGTGATATCCCCCTATCGTCACCGGGACTCACTCACTCACTCACTCATTTACTCAACCTTTACCTTCAAAGCCTGTAGTATAGGGTATGTGATAGTGTGATATCCCCCTATCGCCAACGGGACTCACTCACTCATTCACTCATTTACTCAACCTTTACCTTCAAAGCCTGTAGTATAGGGTATGTGATAGTGTGATATCCCCCTATCGCCAACGGGACTCACTCACTCACTCATTTACTCAACCTTTACCTTCACTGTAGTATAGGGTATGTGATAGTGTGTATCTCCCCTATCGCCAGCAGGACTCCTCCACTCACTCATTTATCAACCTTTCCTTCAAAGCTGTAGTATAGGGTGTGTGATAGTGTGATATCCCCTATCGTCAGCGGGACTCACTCACTCACTCATTTACTCAACCTTTACCTTCAAAGCCTGTAGTATAGGGTATGTGATAGTGTGATATCCCTATCGTCAGCGGGACTCACTCACTCACTCATTTACTCAACCTTTACCTTCAAAGCCTGTAGTATAGGGTATGTGATAGTGTGATATCCCCCTATCGTCACCGGGACTCACTCACTCACTCACTCATTTACTCAACCTTTACCTTCAAAGCCTGTAGTATAGGGTATGTGATAGTGTGATATCCCCTATCGTCAGCGGGACTCACTCACTCACTCATTCATTTACTCAACCTTTACCTTCAAAGCCTGTAGTATAGGGTATGTGATAGTGTGATATCCCCCTATCGTCAGCGGGACTCACTCACTCACTCACTCATTTACTCAACCTTTACCTTCAAAGCCTGTTGTATAGGGTATGTGATAGTGTGATATCCCCCTATCGTCAACGGGACTCACTCACTCACTCATTCACAACACTGCCTCATTGTCCCACTCACTCGACCTTTACCTTCAAAGCCTGTAGTATAGGGTATGTGATAGTGTGATCTCCCCCTATCGTCAGCGGGACACACTCACTCACTCATTCATTTACTCAACCTTTACCTTCAAAGCCTGTAGTATAGGGTATGTGATAGTGTGATCTCCCCCTATCGTCAGCGGGACACACTCTATGTTGGAGTAATATCTTCGGATGTCTTCGCACGCGGTAACCGCATTATACTGGTTCAGTCTGACGTCACCGACGTCTGCTACTTGCAGAGACTCGAACGGGGCAGCACCTGTAACAGTGAAATACAGCTATCTAATCTCACCATCACCATTGTCGTCCATCTTATATTACCATTAATATTTATAGATTAAGATAAATAATATATACAGCAAAGAGGGTCCGGGTGACAGACCTACAAACATAATCGGTCATTGTACAACCTGGGGCAGCAGAAAAAGGCTGCACCTGTTGCACCCCTATGGGTAATTGAATCCAGGTCGACGAGACAATGTTTTATCCACTAGGCTGTCTCAGCGGTAATGAACACCAACTCCATGTTCTGTTTGTTGTTTAACGCCGCACTCAGCAATATTCCAGCTATATGGCGGCGGTCTGTAAATAATCGAGTCTGGACCTGACAATCCAGTGATCAACAGCATGAGCATCGATCTACGCAACTGGGAAACAATGACATGTGTGAACCAAGTCAGCGAGCCTCACCACCCGATCGCCTCCTACGACAAGCCTGGGTTCCTGAAGACCAATTCTAACCCGGATCTTCATGGTCCTCTCCAACAATGCAGCCTCCTGCATTAAGTAGAGTGTGAGAAGAACGGTGCTCCCGGTGAAGAACCCGGGCACACCCCAAGAGATCGGGAGGTACCAAACCAAACACCGAGGAGCCTGACGATAGTGTACATGGGATGCAAGCGAGCCACCAAACTTTTAACGTGCGGAGGGAAAAGTGCATAAACAAATAATTTACATACTAAGACACTCAATATTATAAAATAAACCACTTACCTGATGAAACATTTGAACAGTGTCTGCTGCTGGTGATAGTGTTACACCGTTATTCTCACCTGTGCTTGCATTGAGAGCTTTTAAGGCGGCCGACTGAACTCGTACTGCCCTTGGGCCCATCCTGGGACCGTTCTTGAACCCACACCCGAGGTCAAAGGGGACACCAATGAAACCTACATCTAAACCTGTCAACAAAACAACGACTATGTCAATAACACATGCTATACTTGGTATAGAAGCGATTGTCCAAATACACAGATCCAAACTACACCCGTGCATTAATTAAGCACCACCCTATTTTGAAAATAAGATGTGATGCTACAGAATAGCCATCAATTTAGTTAAAAAAGCTTTACCCACTGACAGTTTTACAAATACCATAACCTTTTCTATTCTTTGTGAAAGAATATGTTGATGAAAATGTGATGGGACTGAATCTTTACCCAAAATAACTATTCCTCTCCTGCTCAAACTACACAATTAAATTAAGTTTTGACTAAAAATAACAATTCTGTTATATACCAAGAAGACATTTACACATGAAGTAAGCTTTAATTATGCATAATCAGGAAGAACCCAATGTCAAAGATTCAGACCTTTTTCCAACAATTCAGATCGCTAATTGACAAAAACTGAAAAAGGCCACATTCATAAGATTTTGGAATAATTTTTGTATTATTTTGAGTTTATTGTAATGAATAAACACTTCTCCTTGCTGGATACTGATAATTACAGCTAAAATCTGTTTGTTTTGTTTGTAAAGCAAATGTTACTGCATTTTAAAATTTTCCTTTTTTTTAGTTTGACTGTAACTTTTCCTAAATCTTAGTTTACAAACTTGCATCCATTCACAATAAATAACGAATTTATAGGCCACACAACAATCAATTATTACTTTCACTTTTCAAAATAAGGTAACATGATTTAGGACAGAAAAACACCTGAGTTAAATATAGGCAATTATCCTAAAATACATGGTAATTTCAATGATGTTTTTCGTTTTTGAAATGTTAAATGTTTGCTCTATCAAATTATAAAGGTTATTTTTGGGAAAGAGTTTAAAATTTCATTTAAGACAAAATTAATTGGTACAAATACAAGGTGGTGCTTATTCTATGCACAGATGTATATATAAGATGACTGGACAGTTAAACTCTGTTGTAAATCGTAGCACAGCTTTGGGAAACTTACGTATACGTACATGTATGTAGTTCTATACGTATCATAGTAACATGTCTTAGTAGAATGGTTTACTCTTTCGGAATGTTTATCACCACTAAATATTCCATGGTGTTTATTATCGGTGGGGCAGCCTAGTTGATCCAGCGTTCGCTCTTGAAGCCGGAGGCCTGGTTTCAATTCCCAATCTGTAGAACCGTTTCTTGTGGCCCCAGGTTGTACAATGCCAGATTACGTTCCAGGTTTGTTGGCGCCTGCTCGTGGGTTTTACCGAACTGGTAAACGACTGAGACCTGCATCAGCCCAGCCTTTTCTCCCACATTAAGCTATGGTATAACTGGGATGATGCTCAAATGGTTTTAAAACCAAAGGACTTATTATTGCTGAGATATTTAAAAAGGCAGCAAAACGCCATATACTAGTATGTACTCACACACTCGAGTACGTCAACCTTAAAGATTTAGCAATATTCCACCAATATCACGATAGAGAACACCAGAAATGGGCTTCACACATTGTACCCATGTGGGGACTCGAACCCGGACCTTCATCACTTTGTGCCACTAGGCTACCACATCACCCGAGGATGATGACAAGTCAATGCTGAATTAGATGATTTGTTGAGCATAGCAGTGGTCAACACACAAAACATCCTCCAAACGAATTTCTAATACAACGTATTTCGTGCTAAAGCGTCGTAGTATACCTGCTCTATCTGCCGATAAGTTTTACCTTTAGTTGTTTCTTGTGACGGGAGTCTCATCATGGTACAGAATCCTGCTGCTCGGGGAAGTACATCTGGGGACTGGGGCTGGTTGAAGGCGGGTACCCGGGAGTTCCCGATTGCTTGACCGTGCTCTGAGACATCTGATCATCGGGGTGGAGCATAAAATATATTACTGGAGGCAAGTAAGTATGTGAAATAAAATAGCCAAGTATTTAAATGGCAATTAGTGAGTAACCTTTTGTAATTTGAAATATACAATACCAAAATCGACAAGACACCAGTACTGTGGGTATTTCATTAATATAGTGTTGGTAACAACAAATACGGGGGTACCAAACACCATAATTAAGGGCAGCCACTATGACCAGTGGACAAAGTTATTTCCGGGGATGCGGGGAGCCTAGTGGTTAAAGCGTTTGCGTTAACAGCATAACACTTGTAAAGAATACTCCGTGGTGTAGTGGTTAGAGCGTCCGCCCGGAGAGTGGAAGGTCGCGGGTTCGATCCCCGACCGCGTCATACCAAAAAAGATGTTAAAATATGGTACTTGTTGGTCCCTACCTGGCGCTCGGCATAAATGGGTACAACAAGGACTGGTCGGCTCGGAGTCAGTATAATGTGTCTGAGTTGGGTATTCATGCTTCACTGCGGCATGGTACCTCAGTGAGCTAGCACTATAAAACCAGCTTCAGTCTGGGCTAGTACAAGCAGCCACACATACACATACACACGCATGCACGTCGTAATATAATCGAAATATTCTCAAGCACGACATTAAACCCAATTTCACCTCACCTCACCTTGTAAAGAATACAGACAGACTGCTCAGTAAAGTTCAGTATCTTTCAGGGATCACACCAGCGAAAGCTTTAAGCAAGTTCAGCCCTATTGTTAGAACTTACAATGAAACTCGGGACTTAAGTCCACCGACAGAAACTCACACCCAGGACCGAATTAGAATTTAACAATACTATACTTAAAAAAACAAGGTATGTAACTTTAAGTATATCAACTCCATGCATATTGCACAGAGCCACGTTTCGATGTAGATTCTTACACCGTTATCAAGGTAAAAGTGACTACAAACACATGTTGAGAAGTATATGTACATAGTGTGCTGTAAAAAAGCAGCAGGTAACGTGAACCTGCTGTTTTAATCTGCAACTTGCCACAACATACTCTGCATACATACGCCCTCTCTATATTTGTATCTACCAAGTCGTATGCTTCGTTATTGACTCATCAACTTCTAGAAACAGTCAAACAATTACTTACCACTTTCCTGTCAGGTTCAATGTGACATGCGGTTGTACATGTTCTATTGTACTATGTTACAGCCGGGTCTTCGTGTGACCTGTGATGTATGTCACCGTGTTATTTCTTTATAGACTGTTAATAGGTCGATAACACCGCTATCAATGATAACTTGCTTATGGCTTGATATATCCCTGGCTTAATAACGGTGTTATCATCCACACAGAAACGTCACCTATATTGTAACAAAGACGTTGTATATCCATATAACCCTCTCCTTTGTTATAATTCAGTATGAGGTACTACCTAGACAATAGTGCAGGCACAGCGAGGTGTCTCTTTAAAATCCTCTTGGCCAACTAGTAGACGGGAAGCAAGTCTACATTTTTTCATGCAGACGAGTTACCTTGTGTCGTCAAGTGGGAGTTCGTGTTTGCACATAGACAATAGCTCAGTTTCTGGCCTGGCCAGTATGTAAGCTACACAACATATGCTACACATACTAACGAAACATAGTAACTGTGCTCTTTGTTAAGTTCCATAAAAATATGCCTCTATGGATAATATAATAATGCATCTTTCAAAACATAGTGATGAAGACATTAAGGTCGTGATTCACAGTTTGCACTTGCGTGTTTTGCACTGCACACAATTTGGATGCTTACGTTTGTTGAGGGCCCAACACGTGTGGTTATAATGTGTGAGCAATTGATGATTGTTTCGTTCAGAAAAAAACCCTCCACACTTTTAAGTAGCGCTTACGCAATGCTACGATTTGTTGATAATCAACGTCTACGCGACGTTTAAGCAGGAAAACGTAAATGGCCGACATTTTTGTGTTTATTGAAACGCTATCTACAGCCGGACGTCTGCGTCTGAGGTCACATCAACAAGACAACCATATACGAAGTCGAGGCCAAACCGCCACATAGACAGCACGGACAGTTCCTGGGTTGAGACCAAATAGCGTCAGAACCGTACACAACGTGGGGTGTAGAATGTCGTTCAATGATCTACGCCCTTCAAGGAAAACGTTTCAACGACGCTTACGTTATGCAACGCCGTCAGTTTGGAGAAGTGTAATGGTTCGGAGTGGCATCACTTCCCTGGAGAACAAATCTCATCATTCTTAATGGCAATTTGGAATGGCATACGCTAACGGGACGACATTGTTCCAAATCATATCCTACCATTTGTAAACGCTGTCTGACATGGGGAATAACATCTCCCAGACTGTGTTCAATCAACTGGTGTCTTTAATAAACCGCATGCGTCAACGCAAATTTAGGTCACGTCCGATGTTGACATTGTAAATTGAGTTGCTAGGACCTGCCTCTCTGCTCTTGTTACCTCGTATGGGTTTTGTTAGAGAATTTGTTATGAAAAAAACATGGATAAGTCCTATGACCAGATATTCTGCTGTTTTTCTCAACAACAATGACATTTATATGACTTTATAGGGAACACAGTTATATTGTTAGCATATATAGAAGAATAATGGTTATATTTTCTCGATAATATTGTAACTATCAGGATATAAGCAGAATATCCAAATTGATCTAAATGGTATTTAATAAGGACAAACTTTATGGATGAACAACTTCTTTAGTCAGGTGATGTGACATTTCGATAGATTCTTGTACGTTGTCAGCAGGTCACATGATTCTTGTACGTTGTCAGCAGGTCACATGTCGCATCATCTGAATAAAGGAATTGTTCATCCATAAAGCTTGTCCTTATCTGACTCTCCAACTTCTAAAAATGCCACTCAAAGAAATCATATTTAATGTTTGTATTTGGTTGGATATACCACAGAAGCAACACTATTGTAGTATTTGCATTGTTCACCTTTTATTGATTTGTCGAATATCCCCTTGCAAAAAGTTATTATGTTATGTTAAGTAGGTTTTAACCAAGTAGAAAGAGTTGTCTACCTTTGATCGTGTTTGTGCTTGTGGTTAATTTTAGGGCGTTTTGAACAACAAATGTTCACTAACTCTAAACATATTTATAATTTATGTAACAAACTTAAAGTTACCAATCGTCTCCAGAACGAACCATTATCAGCAAACCGAGCAGCGTTGAACATGATTTTAAACCAAACTTGTCGAATGACACTTCTTGTGGAATTCCATCTATGATGTGCATACCAGAAAGGTCTGCCCCACCTGAATGATCCTTTCAGAGAGAAATGATTGAATCAATCTAAACATATTAGCTTGTATTACAAGCTTTTGCATTTAAACGGCAAAATCTGACGCCAAATCACATCACATGCCTTTTCAATATCACGAAATACGCACAACTTACACGCCTAATTGCCAATTGCTTTCTGAGCTTCTGTGTAATCAGCCACGCTAATCAGTGCATGAGCGACCTGTTCGAAACCCTGCTTAAATTCTGGACCAAACCTTGCTTCCTCAAGATAATAAGTTAAGCGGTTGGTAACTATTCTTTCCATGGACGAAGTGACAAAGTGATGTTCTATCAAGGCTTCTATTTGACTTGTAACATGTGTTCCAGTGTGTTGTGAGGTGAACGATTGATTTATCTTTGCATGCATCTCTTGTATGGCATGGTGCTTTCCTACCAACGCTATACATATGGTCTATGTAACTGTGTAACATTTACCAAACTTGTAAGGCATCATTGTTTCACACTGCCCATATATTGTTCCCCAAAGATGGGTTAGGTTGAGGGAGATTTAAGGTGTTATTGGTCTGGCGTGATACTATAATCATCTACACAGAACATTGTAAACTATGAAGTCATTTAGGTGTACGGCAGCGACTGACGTACGTTGGAAGTTGCATCGTGTTTCACCATCTTCATTCCAGCTCCAGTAAAACAGTCATGAAAGTTAATGGCTGCCAACGCTATTCATCTTTCTGTAAGCTTTAATCTTGGCATGGTCCTCATCTGTCAACCGTAAATAGGAGGTCAAAGTCAGGTATCCGTTACGTGTACGTCATTAGTGACGTCAATAAAACTCACGTCCTGACATGATAATCTTCAACATTCCTGTGCTCAGACTGGCTGTAAAACATGGTGTAAAACATGGAGTATGTGATACGAACAATTTCAAAGGTCTTCACGGTTCACAACACGCCAAGTCATTTCTTGAACCAGAGATCACTTCACACAAGATAATGTCGGAAGCATTTTCTTCATATCACACGGGAAAATTTCATAAAGTCAGAGAAACAAATGTATAGTCATGTTGAATGAGATATTGGGTTGTGGTTGCATGGGCATTGTCATTGGTTTCTTCTGTTATATAGCAATAAGGACAAAAATCCACAATTTAGGTTCCAAAGCATGAGCTCTGCAATCACCTCATTTTAAAAAGATCAAATTGTTCTTTCTGCTCTCTTTCATTGAGGCAACAATTTGTCATTTTATTCAAATTTAAATCAATCGTATACACGATGTCGTTTTGAAAATACCCCTCGTTTTTTGTGTGTAATATAATGGTAGCCACTACGTCATACTGTCCCAAAACAGTAGCAAGAAAATACATGTATGTAACGAATATATGTAATTTCAGGCCTTATCAAGTGGACACTTGGCGTCGAAATTCGCGTATTGATTCAAATACACGCAGTACTTGTGACCAGATCTGCCAAATGTCATCAAAGGAGAAACAAGACAGATCCAGCCTTCATGGCAGGAAGGCATTACAGTAGCACAAAAAGATGTGAAACTCATGTTAGACTGTGGCCTGAAAACCTATAGTATTGGTGATGAGGGAGGGCTAACTTGCAGCATCTTCATTTCCATCGTTTTCAAAAACGAGCCAGTTCAGTCATTGAAGATCTCCTCTTCTCAGGCCATGATGGCAACAGAGAGAGCTTGGCTGATTTCGGAGATCTCCTGGAGACTCATTTGTAAGTATATGTTTATTATGCAATATGTATCTAACCACAGAGACCTCATGTTTATTTACAAGACTTTACAGGACTTCATATTTTCGTAAAGACTTTTCAAGACTTCAGGTTTTCTTACACGATTTACAGGACTTGAGGTTTTTTACAAGGCCGTTATAGATTTTATGTTTTGTTCCAAGACTTTTTGAAGACTTCAGGTTTTCTTTGAAGAATTTATATGACTTCATGACGGAATAAACATTCCAATATTTGAGAATATTTTCTCGATAATATTGTAGCTATCAGGATATAACAGAATATCCAAATTGATCTAAATGGTATTTAATAAGGACAAACTTTATGGATGAACAACTTCTTTAGTCAGGTGATGTGACATTTCGATAGATTCTTGTACGTTGTCAGCAGGTCACATGTCGCATCATCTGAATAAAGGCATTGTTCATCCATAAAGCTTGTCCTTATCTGACTCTCCAACTTCTAAAAATGTCACTCAAAGAAATGGTATTTAATGTTTGTATTTGGTTGGATATACCACAGAAGCAACACTATTGTAGTATTTGCATTGTTCACCTTTTATTGATTTGTCGAATATCCCATTGCAAAAAGATACTATATTATGTTAAGTAGGTTTTAACCAAGTAGAAAGAGTTGTCTACCTTTGATCGTGTTTGTGCTTGTGGTTAATTTTAGGGCGTTTTGAACAACAAATGTTCACTAACTCTAAACATATTTTTAATTTATGTAACAAACTTACAGTTACCAATCGTTTCCAGAACGGACCATTACCAGCAAACTGAGCAGCGTTGAACATGATATTAAACCAAACTTGTCGAATTCCACTTCTTGTGGAGTTCCATCTATGATGTGCATACCAGACAGTTCTGCCCCACCTGAATGATCCTTTCAGAGAGAAATGATTGAATCAATCTAAACATATTAGCTTGTATTACAAGCTTTTGCATTTAAACGGCACAATCTGACGCCAAATCACATCACATGCCTTTTCAAAATCACGAAATTCGCACAACATACACGCCTAATTGCCAATTGCTTTCTGAGCTTCTGTGTAATCAGCCACGCTAATCAGCGCATGAGCGACCTTTTCAAAACCCTGCTTAAATTCTGGACCAAACCTTGCTTTTTATCAAGATAATAAGTTAAGCGGTTGGCAACTATTCTTTCCATGGACGAAGTGACAAAGTGATGTTCTATCAAGGCTTCTATTTGACTTGTAACATGTGTTCCAGTGTGTTGTGAGGTGAACGATTCATTTATCTTTGCATGCATCTCTTGTATGGCATGGTATTTTCCTACCAACGCTATACATATGGTCTATGTAGCTGTGTAACATTTACCAAACTTGTAAGGCATCATTGTTTCACACTGCCCATATATTGTTCCCCAAAGATGGGTTAGGTTGAGGGAGATTTTAGGTGTTATTCGTCTGGCGTGTACGGCAGCTACTGACGTACGTGTGAAGCTGCATCGTGTTTCACCAGCTTCATTCCAGCTCCAGTAAAACAGTCATGAAAGTTAATGGCTGCCAACTCTATTCATCTTTCTGTAAGCTTTGTCTTGGCATGGTCCTCATCTGTCAACCGCAGATAGGAGGTCAAGGTCAGGTATCCGTTACGTGTACGTCATTAGTGACGTCAATAAAACTCACGTCCTGACATGATAATCTTCAACATTCCTGTGCTCAGACTGGCTGTAAAACATGGTGTAAAACATGGAGTATGTGATACGAACAATTTCAAGGTCTTCACGGTTCACAACACGCCAAGTCATTTCTTGAACCAGAGATCACTTCACTACAAGATAATGTCGGAAGCATTTTCTTCATATCACACGGGAAAATTTCATAAAGTCAGAGAAAAAATGTAGACTCATGTTGAATGAGATATTGGGTTGTGGTTGCATGGGCATTGCCATTGGTTTCTTCTGTTATATAGATATAAGGACAGAAATCCACAATGTAGGTTCCAAAGCATGAGCTCTGCAATCACCTCATTTTAAAAAGATCAAATTGTTCTTTCTGCTCTCTTTCATTGAGGCAACAATTTGTCATTTTATTCAAATTTAAATCAATCGTATACACGATGTCGTTTTGAAAATACGCCTCGTTTTTTGTGTGTAATATAATGGTAGCCACTACGTCATACTGTCCCAAAACAGTAGCAAGAAAATATGTAACGAATATATGTAACTTCAGGCCTTATCAAGTGGACACTTGTCGTCGAAATTCGCGTATTGATTCAAATACACGCAAGTACTTGTGACCAGATCTGCCAAATGTCATCAAAGGAGAAACAAGACAGATCCAGCCTTCATGGCAGGAAGGCATTACAGTAGCACAAAGATGTGAAACTCATGTTAGACTGTGGCCTGAAAACCTATAGTATTGATGATGAGGAGGGCTAACTTGCAGCATCTTCATTTCCATCGTTTTCAAAAAACGAGCCAGTTCAGTCATTGAAGATCTTCTCTTCTCCAGGCCATGATGGCAACAGAGAGCTTGGCTGATTTTGGAGATCTCCTGGAGACTCGTTTGTAAGTATATGTTTATTATGCAATATGTATCTAACCCCAGAGGCTTCATGTTTATTTACAAGACTTTACAGGACTTCATATTTTCGTAAAGACTTTTCAAGACTTCAGGTTTTCTTACACGATTTTACAGGACTTCAGGGTTTTTACAAGGCCGTTATAGATTTTATGTTTTGTTCCAAGACTTTTGAAGACTTCAGGTTTTCTTTGAAGAATTTATATGACTTCATGGCGGAATAAACATTCCAATATTTGAGAATATTTTCAATAAACCTACTCTGGTTGCTATAGTTTATCCTGAAAATGGCCGGATTCACTATCGTAGGCGAGAATGGTTGTGCCAGTTTGAAAACAATTCTTCCTCAGTTGTTGTATCTCCCCTACTGGTGTTTATAACATGTAATGTGTATTACAATAATATCATGGCATAATGTGTGGTGTTTCTTCCAAAGTTTCTCTGGTTCTGTGATAGTACTTCATACTCCAGTGATTTTACCATTATGACATACCATGAGCCCGATTAGGCCTTCATTGAGAACATTTACAAACTAGTTTGCTAGTCTGACAAACTGTTGGCGAAATATTGGTCTGCAGTCTCACCGATATTTTGACCAGGTGTTTTCAGACTCTATTTTGAAGCGTGATTGACTCGGGGAAAAGTATTTTCAAATGCCGACACCATTTGTAAGCAGAAATCACCTGCAAAGTAATATATATTGTATATGGCTGGTTGTAAGCGAACAACAAAATTTTACAAAAACAGTCTGTGTCGTGTAAAGGCGACGTGGGTAACATAATTTTCAAAATACAGGCTGATTTACTCCATACTCGATTCCATGTCCCTTCCTTCAAATGCCGACGCCATTTTGTCGTAGACCCAGTATCTGATTGGTTGTAAGCGACGTGCGACGTGAGTCAGTGGAAGTACCATGACATAGCACAAGTTAATCTCGATCGAACATCTTTCGGTTTGCTTGAAATCCTTCACAATAGCAGACTGAAACTTACAAATACATTTGTTGCAGGAGCATCATTCGGGTATATGTGGCTGTACGCACCCCTCGTGGTGTAATACCTAATGCAACTTCATGTAACGTAACTTACCCACATGACAATAGATATAATATGGTGACAGTAGATGGTGTATCATGACAGTAGATGTCATGTCGTTGCAGAAGATGCCATGACGTTAACGTAGATGCCTTATCGGACAGTAGATGTTCAATCATTATATGTCGTTACAGTGCATGCCATGCTGTTACCGAAGATGTCTCAGCATATCATGATAGTGGATGTCAATTGTTACCGTAGATGCTCTACAGTAGACGCCATATCGTTACAGTAGATGACATGTCGTTACAGTAGATGTCATGCCTTGACTGTAGATGGCATGTAACAGTGGATGACATATGGGGACATTTCCTAATTTGGGAAGAAACTAAGCACGAAATGATGACGTTCTCAGCTTTGGAGAAACCCACATGCACCTGTTTGGTTCTGGGAAACCTGGAAACATAAGTGGGCCGATCGGGAATCGAACCCACGATTATTGTTTTCTGGGTTGCCCAAAGGACCCATAGACAACGTTAGTCACTCCTGTCCTGCTCAGAACACACAGAACTACCTACACAGTATACAATATCGTGTTACCCATTTCTGCCTATCTGAGCTCTCAAGATGCCTGCGCAGCCATCAGGTACAGGTTACACAACACCAAATGTTTTCCCATAGACTTCTATAGTAACCATATATATATATTTTTAAATTATCCAGGCTATCAACAGCCATTCCATGTACACATGAGTACACTCTTGCCTTTAAACTACAATAAAACTGTTTGTTACACAATATCTGGCCAACTTGTCCGGCTTATTTTGCGAGCACAGGAAGCGGAACGTATCAACCCCAGTTCCGCACCAAATGTCACCTACTGGAAATATATGTACACACAATAAGCATAAGTCACTTGATGCTTAAAAATTGTGGTCAGTTTTAATTACTGGTTGGATGTGCTTTTAAAAAACATAAACATCTTATACTATTTCATCCAATCACAGCTGTCACATGTCTCTGTCTCTTCAGGTGTTCGCTCAGGGAACATGTGATCTGATTTAGTGTAGTGGAACCTACATACGAAGTCGTCAACCATCGTAACATTGCTCGTACAGTCTTGAAATCTGAGAATCTTTATTGGGCGGTAAGGCACCTCAGTTTGTCAAGGTGGTGTAACGTTCCCATTGTGTAGAAACAAAGACAACTAAAATACGTTTTATGGAACATGAAAATACGGAAACCACATATAACCTGTCTCAACAACACACCTTTAAAACGGTGCTTTATCAACTAAAGATATAAATGCTCGTGTGCATCAAGGATATCTATTCACAGCTTACATAACTAAAATTGTTCGAGAACCAGTTACACGATAATGCTAATTAACTGTCACTTATTTGAGTTTACTGTCGGAAGACAATTCCGCTTTTTTGTCTGGTCACCTCCATTAGTGAACTCCTACTGTTTTGACTGAGTCATCACATGGGACACAAGTATGTCCGATGTCTCTTTAACATCTTATGTTTCTGTGTCAAGGCAGTGATCTTAATTGGCGGATTTTGATGAGTAGAGTAGTGTCCCTTATCTGACAGGATCCGCTGTTCCCGTGTCTGAATCATCAACAGTATAGATAGATGGTCGTATATCTCAGTGATGGTCTTATACTGTTGAATCATTTACGACCTAGCTATCTGGTTTACTTGGAGTGTTCCTACCACATTAAACAGACACGACGTAAGATGACTGAAATACGTTCGACCTGGCGTTAGGTCTAACTCACTCGATTCCAGAGGCTCACACAGATTACCATAGTTATTCTCTATTACACACTTCTTGATTACCATGTACAACTAACACACCTGGGAAAGTCGGGGTTGACCTGAATCGACAAACCCAGAAACCTTTCACACCAGTAGATATAAGATATATAATTTCTAAACAGTGAATCGTTCGTTTTATGTAAGGAGCGGATTAAACGAGAAAGGCCCACATGTAAGCTTATGGGGCTAAGGTCAAGGCGAGCGAGGTCAGGAGCCGCCATGTTGAGTTACCTGACACAGTTAATATCGTATGCACTTAAGTGATCAAAGCACATGGACGATAATAGGTAGTAGCAAAGAAACATTGGTCGTTTAGAAATTTCCATAAAATACCTTGTCATCATCCTCGCAACCAAGTACATCAGGTATGTTTGTGTATATCAGATGTAGTTTACAATAAAAACGTCAAACGATAAAACCTTACTTAAGCTTTGTTGAATGTTGTAAACTTAAGTTTGATCAAACAACTTCTAAGAAAGAGTCATGTGATACGTTTTGAAACCTCAGAAGGTGGAGCATGCGCAATTAAAAATGTTGTAAACTTGTACACACATAAACCTGGAGCTGTTGGACGACAAACAAAGAAGTTGAAGCCATCCCTCTTCTCAGACAGTTTTGTGAAGAGTCTTTTTTGTTACTCAGAATCTACAGACGAAAGAAATGAGGCGATGAAAAGACAGTCTTGTGGAGACTTTTCTTGTGACCCTGAGTCTACAGATGAAACAAATGAAGCGGTTTCCGTGAGGTGTTTTATTTGTAGATCAGTATGTAAACCAGTGGAATTAACATGGCCGTTTGGCCGTGATTAAACCATCAGATCACAAAGTGTCCTTTATAATTAATACATACCCTGTTTATACAGATATAAGATCAGCTGTCAAAGGTATTTCGACGCATGTCCTTTTTCTCATTTACATATTATACTATCGTTACCAACTGCAATCGGTTGCTGCTTATGTCAGGTTCATATGAGGACCGCGTTTTCGTGCGATGCGACAAAGAAGATGGCGAGGACGACACGGCGTGGTGTGATGTAAGTATTTCAATCGATTTTAACAAACCAGAACATAACAAACGAGATGTGAAACACGGCCCCAGTAGCTCTTTCTTGAGATGTCAGTCGGTGAAGGCTGACTTCCTGAGCAACACTTTGAGAGGTTTCATTTATGAGATCACAGCGGATAATATTTGACACCGGGAAGAATACATAGCATCTCAAACAAGAAATGAGCTGCGGCCATTGACGTCATACTATTGTTGTCGTAGGGCGGCGACACCTGAAGTGGAAACAAGACACTATTCACTTAAACTGTCAACACAGGTAGCACAAGGACAAAAGCGATACATATTCCGAGGCGTTAATATGGAACAAACTTAAGTCATATAAGATTAATTCAGCTTCAAATAGATTTGAATAAAGTCTGACATCTCAACATCTGACGCATAAGACTAACCCTAACCCCTAAATCTATCGGATTTACCACTACATTAAGAACCCATTTTAAAAAAAAATAATTAAAATTTTAGGAATTTACCTTACCCGCAAATAATATCACATTATACTGGCCATAAAACGAATCAATGTCACTTTTATGTAATTGTTGAAAATATAATTCTTGATTGCTTTAGAATCATTTGGGCTCATTTTACGGAATGGCAAATGTATCTTAAAGACAGAACTTTTAACAGCATTTAAAAAAAATATTAGTATGTCAGGACTAAGCTAAGCATTAAAGCATTTACAAAACTGACGGCGAAAGTGAACAAATCTGTAGTTCTGTCCACTCATGGGCAGTTCTGTCGAAACAGAACGACAATTTGCCACTCAGTTAAACTTATAAATCGCTGATGGAAACCAGGTGTAATACCCGGATGTCAGTGACGGGTCAAGCATTCTGTGTTGTATTGGACAATAAGTTGTGGTTTAAACGTTACCTCCACAACATCGCCGCCGATGACGTTGAGGCCTCTACAGCCCCGGATCACCTCCAACGCTTGTATTGGCGTCAGTCCACCGATCTCCAACGCACCTGTGAGAATGTATAACCAGTTAAATGACACCAGTAAATAGGATAGCAGTAGTATGTTTATTGCAAGTGATTCGAGTAGCATACAATTTTGAAATATAGAAAGTAACTCGATCTTATAATAGACGAGGCGGTATGCTGTTCGGAGTTGTGTACCTCCTGTATGTCAGGATCCTCTGGTAACTAGGCATGCATTGTTTTCCTAAAAGACGATACCATTGTTCGTGGGTTTCACCACGTGGATGTCTACTACTTGGGTCACTTTTAACGTTCTTATCACATTTAGATAAGACGCTGTATTACGTGACTCGTGAAGATCCGGGTTAGGATTGGTCAGGCTCGCTGACTTGATTGACACATGTCATTGTATCCCGACTGCGTAGATCGATGCTCATGCTATTGATCACGATTATTTACAGACCGACGTCATATAGCTGGGATATTGCTGAGTGCGGCGTAAAACTAAACTCAATCACACACTCGCTGTATTATGTTACTGCAATTCCGTTCAAAGGACTGTCAACGGAGGTTGTGGTAAATGACCATGGATTAACTTAAGATTCTGGGCCCTTATTCTCGAAACGTTCGTAGCCCTAAGAATTGTTAACTTTGATCGTAGCCAATGTGTTAAGAATGGGCTTAAGAAGTTCGTAGGGTTACGAACGTTTCGAGAATAGCTAGCCTCTTTACAGTTCCAGTGGCATTGACTGTCCTGGAACGGTTAGAATAATACAACAGGTCGATTGTAATTTCTCAGGTGTTACATTACTCTGGTGTTACATCACTCTGGTGTTACATTACTCTGGTGTTACATTACTCTGTATGTTGGTGGTTAAATTGCTGTTATAGTTCATTCACTGGTGATTAGGAAAAGTTAACACAGATATTGTGATCCTCTGTCAGAGCCATGATCACATTTCACAAGAGGTGCCTTGCATCGATGTGTACTTGCTTCTGATGGTTTTGCTATTACTGGTAACAGATACGTTGTTCTGGTGTAGGGGCGACAGAGTAATGTCTCTATGATGAAGGTGATAATGTGCTGGCAGTGTAAGTTGTACATACAGTAAAGTAATACCAACTGTTCTTTAAGAATTTGTGTAATTGTATGTTTGTAAAGTTCAGAAAACGTCGGTGGGCACATAAGGTTTTATGGGTAATTATACCAAAAAAAACCATTCATGTATTGAATTTTTTCTTCTTACAATTGCCTCTGCCTAGTTTTGGTGTTTTTCACATTATCGCTATGTTTTTAGTTGCTCAGTTCTATTTTAACGAAACCGCTAAATTCATGAAATGTGTTGGAAAATCTATTGCAATAATGAAATGACAGACCCGCATAATCTACCGCGCTAACGTCACGGAGTTGCAACGGAGTAAATGTACAGTAGGTAACATGTGGCCTGAATAGGCGTGTACGCTCATTTACTGTGTAGATACCATGTTAATCAACTTCAACATGTACAGGATGTTATAGTTTAGTGGTAAAAACCGGTGTTGGTATAAAACAGGGAATGAACTGAAAACCAGTGTTGTTCATATGGTTTTAAACATGCCCGTGTTAATTATAGGAAATTGTTCCATTGTACATTCAATTTGTTAGCTTTAGAAAGGACACGAGTCTGTATTGCTGTGTTAAAGATTACTAGTTTAACGGGAGATTTATGTACAGGTAGGCATCTGCAACTGATATTACAAAAAAGTGGGCAATTATTTAACAATGGCTATATATGCAGGTAACTGTTATTACAAAAAACAATTGGGCAATGATTTAACATAAGCTACATATAAAGATAGGTAACTGCAACTATTATTAAGGCGAAGTGGTAACAATATTAAAATGAGTATAATGACATAATAAGAGCAATAGTAATGATTGTTAAAATAGGGAAAAGGGTGATCTGTGCGCTGTCTCCCCAGTGTTTATATCGCCGGCTATGCTGTGATTGAAGTCACTGTTCTCCACGTCAATAATACATGGTGGTAACATAGGCTCTGTGAATGTCCATTTTAGTAAACACCTGACATCCACAGCCAGGTTATGGACAGTAGTTCTGTTCGATAGTGTAATGTCGTAATATTCACCATTATGCCGTACCTAACGAGCACACGTACAAATTCCTAACTCCTAACAATTATATATTCAGTAAATGATTCATTTATTGCAAGCAACGAGCGGGGCAAAATGCTCAAAATGCTGACTCAGCATTCTTGCGAGATGACCCCGCCACCAAATTCGTCACAAGGCCGTAGGATAGCGTGATGAGACTTGGATATTATATTTCGCACCTTGATCCACGAAGCGTCATCAAGATCGACGATAATGAATGGGACCCAATGTCCCTCAATGTTTTGGCGATATGGCTCTGGTATTCACAATATCAAGGGCACACCAAATAAACTACATTTTGGACAGAATCTCATTTATTTCATTCTAATTAGATGGGTTTGGACTATCATAGTATTCATACTGACTTGACTTCCGGGACTGTCCAAATCTATTCATACCGACTTGACTTGCGGGACTGTCCAAATCTCATGTGAGTGACTAACAGTGAACAAAGACGCAATGAAACCGCGTGGTGTTTTTAATTCGTTACAATAGACAAATTGAATAACTAAGGGAAGTGAGTGAGTGAGTGGGGTTTTACGCCGCATATAGCAATAGCGGCGGAATGCACAAGAAATGGGCTTGTACCCACGTGAGGAACGTGAGGAATCGAACCAGTGTTTTTGGCGTGACAAGCGAACGCTCTAGCCACTAGCCTACCCCACCACCGCTGAATGATTTAAAGACTAAAATACTGGAATGTTGAACAAATCTATACATGAAAGGATCACGTTGCTCATGATATCTGACGAATGAGTGAGTGATTGACTTGGTGAATGGACGAGTTGATGTTATGTGCCTAAGTATTATTTTCATATCAGAACAAGAATGTATTTCAGAAACGTCACTTTTCATACCTCTAGCAAAAAAACACATCATTACGGAAAATTAATTACTGAGGACAAGAGGACAGACTTTTCTTGTTGATCTTTTAAATAAACAACATAATTAACATTGGAAAGTCAACTGGACAACGGTACAACGTGATATACAAATTAGCTTGCCCGACAGAAAACAACACTGGACTCGGACGTCGGGCAATGGGTTATTTCCACCCCTCACAGTCTTATGAAGCTCTGTTGTAGCTTTTGTTCTGTTTAATCAATGCGAACGCGTTTTAACTTTTCAACTTAACTATTGTGTGTTTTGTCCCAAAAAGGGTATAATATATATGACACAAGATACATATACTTGCTGAATGTCACTACTGTAGTTAAAACTGTGAGGGGTGTTTCATGAAAACCCACCAACAGCTAAACAGTTCTTTAAAACAACATCATCTGTCGTCTTCCTCCAGCCACAAACAAATCGTCATCCCTCTCTCTCCACTCATCTCTCTCTCTCTCTCTCTCCTCTCTCTCTCTCTCTCTCTCTCTCTCTCTCTCTCTCTCTCTCTCTCTCTCTCTCTCTCTCTCTCTCTCTCTCTCTCTCTCTCTCTCTAACACACACAAACACACACACACAGCTAGGTATGTAGCTAGGTCATTGATGCTTAATGGTCAACAAGGGTCTTATGTACAGTTTATACAGAGGATATAGGGCAGGTCATTAGAATATCGCTGGATCTGTATCTTGGGCTAAATGAGTTTTAAGACGTAAGCCGATACCATCAAGGTGGAACATTTGTGCGAACCAAAATGATAGGGTCATTAGCTGACGGGAGGTTTTCGTTTCTTCAAATACATCTCCTAGCCTTGGTCCAAGGCTGTACTGAATGCTGAGCACATGGATGTGTAGTAATTCTATCCTTCGAAGAGGCAAGCCTAGATAGGCAGACAGTGCAATTTTTAGAAATTATCACTTAAACTATAGATTTTTATCTTAGAGACTTGTGAGAGTCCATACAGCTCCGAACATTTACATATTTAAGTTTGTTCTGTGAGAATGAACTGTGGCTGACGTTGGTGTTTACTGCGTGTTTATTATATCTTCGTTGCTGCCTTAAAGTTTAATTATGTTTTACCAACAAGGACCCCACGTGAATCGGAACATAAATTTATATATAACGTCCCACTCAGCACCATTCCAACAATGCGTAAATATGCAACCAATCAAGATATTGATCAAGATGCCGAGTAAACATAATCGAGGTTAAGGTAATAATCTAGTTAAGGTTAACCAGCGGTTGATATTATGAGAACTTTGCAATTAGCCAACTCATCAAGTTTGACCACCCGATTCAATTGAGTAGATCGGTTTACATTGTGTGCGTGCGTGCGTGCGTGCGTGCGTGCGTGCGTGCGTGCGTGCATGCGTGCGTTCATTGCCAATCGGTCCCTGGGCAAGGGCTTGCTCCAACCTCTTCTTGCTAGGAAAGGTTCAGGGCCCCGTTCCTCAAAGCGATCGTAGCGCTACAACAGTCGTAAGTCTATGTTAAAGTATGGGAGTTACGATCAACTTTGCTCTACGATCGCTTTGAGGAACGGGACACTGGTTTCTTTATTTTGTGACAAAGGATTTGGTTTTATGATCGCCAAATGAGGCCAAAAGACGCTTGAGTTAACCAACCTATCACCTTACATCTTGCATGGCTTCATTTACCAGTTTTCATACGTGGGGCGTCACAGTTATTTCCTTGTCTAATTGGTTCTCGTTTCACATCAAAATCCAATCATCAAAGTATTACCTGTCCCCGGAGCGTACGCAGGGTCAAGGGCGTCGATGTCAAAGGTCACATATACCGGTACATCTCCCATCATGTCTCTTACTTCTTCCATGAGAGGTTTAAGTGACTTGTGCCAGCATTCCTCAGCGCGGACCACACGGAAACCCTTTAGAAACAATATTGCAGTATTTAATGTAGAGTTAAATGATATTGGTGCAATCAGTTCCTTTGTGATTTAATTGAGCTTAGCTTGCGATTGGTTGGCTTTATAGCCTCTGTTCAGCATCCATTGTCCTGCGTTTGACAAGTACCTTTTAGCATCCGTTTATCTGGCACTAAGTTGCACAATTTGGCAATGCTTAAAAAACACAATTCCTGTTCCTGAAACTTAAAGTACAGTCTCATTTCAACTTCATCATCTTCCTATACCATTCAGTGTCTATTGTCGGTTTACCTGATCAATGCCCCACTGTACATAGTCCATTGAGTACCCGCCTCCACGAATGCCAATCTGCACCGTCTTCTCTGGTAAGATACAACCATCCTCCACGGCGCGTCTGAAGGGGGTGGAGTGGCAGATAGTGTCCCCGGCTATATTGTCCACTGTATCTGTGTGGGCGTCAAGCTGTATCAGGCCCATAGGTCCATGCTTCTCCTGAATCATCAAAATAATAATGATAAGCATCATCATCAACATCACGATGTCCTCCACCACCTCCTCCCCACATCATCAGTGGTTTCTTCACTGTTTCACTCTCTCAGAAATGTTCTTCTTCTATATTATCGAAACTAACTAATTTTGTGTAATATCCTTAAAAACGCTATCATAATTCAACGAAATGTCGTACCAACAAACCAAAAAAGATACATTGCCATCATCAGCCGATAAATATGGAAAAGAGGTCGCTAAACAAGAACAACTTTTGTTAAGATTCGATGCGATTCTTACGTGCCACAAAACACTATGTTGCCTAGTGATTAAATAGACGTAGACAGCAGTAATAATCCACCGGCCTTTAGACAGTGGTCTAGACCAACAGCCTAGTGATTGATATTGTGAACGATGTAGGGTACGATGCCTGCAACAATATCACAATCGGACCACACCAGTCACTGATTGGGCTCATATGACCAGTATGACCTCCGAATCGTGATATTATATGATAAATAATCGATCCTTTGTGTTCAAAAGAATTCATCGGTAACATTTCGATTCGATTATGCTTTGGATCGTTTTAATATTTGGTAATATTAAGTATACCTTAGTATTACATTAAATGTTTTGTTTTGATGCTTCTTCAAATGTACTGTACACGCATTAAGACACAATCAGTGTTTTGTTTATAACAAAAAATATGTTTAATATTGACACCCTTATTCACTGTCTCACACACTGTCCCACTCTCTCACACAATGTGTAATTGACTTATTCACGGTCTCACAAACTGCCTCACTATGTCACACAATGTGTAATTGACTTATTCACGGTCTCACAGACTGCCTCACTCTCTCACACAATGTGTAATTGTCTATTCACGGTCTCACAAACTGCCTCACTATGTCACACAATGTGTGTCTTATTCACTGTCTCACACACTGCCCCACTCTCTCAAACAATGTGTAATTGTCTATTCACGGTCTCACAAACTGCCCCACTCTCTCACACACATGTGTGTCTTATTCACTGTCTCACACACTGTCCCACTCTCTCACACAATGTGTAATTGTCTTATTCACTTTCTCACAAACTGCCTCACCCTCTCACACAATGTGTAATGGTCTTATTCACTGCCTCACACACTGCCTCACTCTCACACAAAGTATAATTGTCTTATTAAGTAATCCTGTCTCACACACTGTCTCAATCACTCATTCACAAAACTGCCTCATTGTCCCACTCACTCACACAATGTGTCTCACACACTGTCCACAAACTCTCTCACTCTCTCACACATGTGTAATTGTCTTATTCACGGTCTAACGCACTGCCTCACTCACTGTCTTACACTCTCACATATGCTTATTCTCCCTTGCACACACACTGCCACAATGTGTGTCTTATTCAAGGTCTCACACACTGCCTCACTCTCTCACACAATGTGTAATTGTCTTATTCACTTTCTCACACACTGCCTCACTCTCTCACGCAATGTGTAATGGTCTTATTCACTGCCTCACACACTGCCTCACACACTGCCTCACACAAAGTATAATTGTCTTATTAAGTAATCCTGTCTCACACACTGTCTCAATCACTCATTCACAAAACTGCCTCATTGTCCCACTCACTCAACCTTTACCTTCAAAGCCTGTAGTATAGGGTATGTGATAGTGTGATCTCCCCCTATCGTCAGCGGGACACACTCTATGTTGGAGTAATATTTTCGGATGTCTTCGCAAGCGGTAACCGCATTATACTGGTTCAGTCTGACGTCACCGACATCTGCTACTTGCAGAGACTCGAACGGGGCAGCACCTACAACAGTGGAATACAGCTATTTAATCTCTCACTCGCCTTCACCATCATGATCGTCGTTCACCTTATATCATTCGTATATTATCATAAGACACCAACAACAATATGAATACGGACAATATGGTACATGGGATGCAAGCGTGGCATTTCGTAAGCCAGCCAAGCCATATTTGCCATGTTTCTCCATGACTTTTCGCCAGTTACATTACTGTCTAAAGGAACGGAAAATGGTTTTGGGAGAAGTATGGTTCGACCTTTGCAGAACCTAGGATGAACATTCCCTGTATCCACGAGACAGTAGGAATATTGAAGTAATAACGTTTGGATACTAAGGAACAGTTTCCAATACCATCAAACCTCGGTGTCGTATTACGTTTAGATTGACAGGTTATTTTGCCGGAAATCAGGTGCAATGAGTCATTCAACGGTAAAATTATTTTTGCAACGTTTTTAACCCATGGTTCATCGACGTTTACGGGTATAAATCTCAACTGTATATTATTACTGATATTAGCTTAACGTCATGTGTTTACATTTATCTGTTGTGAAGAGGTTACCACATCGTGCATTTGTGGAAACTACAATAAATGTTGAGCGAAAATTGCGAAAAACAACAAAGGCAAACATCATTAAAATCTTTGATTTTGTCTGATGAAAAAACATGCAGACGTGTTAAAATCATCCGACCTGGAACTTTTGAACTGTGTCTGACTAATGATAGTGTTACACCGTTATTCTCACCTGTGCTTGCATTGAGTGATTTAAGGTAGGCCGACTCAACTCTCACAAACCTCGGCCCCATCCTGGCACCATTCCGGTACCCAACCCCGAGATCAAAGGGGACACCAATGAAACCTACATCTAAACCTGTCAACAAAAAACAACGAACAAGTTGATGACACATGTTATACCTCGTAAAGAGCGGTTGGTCTGTCCTTACAATCAGGTCCAAAATATATGATATGACTGCGTAGCTAAACTATTGCGACGGTTTGCAATAAAAGTATTTCTGTAAAGAATCGTGTACAAATTATATTTTACAATCAATATGACTAAGCTGGTCACCGAGACCTAGTATACCTAAGTAATGTAAGCATTTTGTTCTACTGTGTGGGGGCGATTGAGTAGCCGAGTGGTTAATTCGTTCGCTCGTCACGCCGAAGACCCGAGTTCGATTCCCCATATTATGGGTACAATATGTGAACCCATTTCTTGTGTCCCCCACTGTGGCATTGCTGGAATAGCGCTAAACTAAAACTAAACTCACTCACTCACTATACTGTGTGGTTAAACCTTACCAAATAATGTTGGTTATATTTGTCATCGTATTTTACTACGCATCATCACAATAACATAGAAGAATAATGTATTTGCTCTTTCTGAATATCTAATACAATTACATTGTTGGTGTTCATTATCGTGGGGGTAGCCAAGTGAATAAAGTGTTTGATGCATCTCAGCTTTTTACCCTTAGTGGTTTCTTGTGACGGGAGTCTCATCATCGTACAGACACCAGCTGGTCGGGGAAGAACATCAGGGGAAAGGGGTTGGTTGAAGGCGGCTGTCCTTGGGGTGGTGCAGAAGGCACGGGGGCTCGGGGATTGCTTGACCGTCCCTGACAGAAGTCGGCCAGCTGACAACAAGGTTCTCTGAAACATCTGATAATCAGAGTGACATGAAAGTATATTATTGGATGCCAGTTCCTGGATTGCTTAACCGTGCCTGACAGAAGTCTGTAAGCCCAGTATTCCCATCGTACTTACTGAGTACATACTTTCTAGGTGTGTGCGTGCGTGCGTGTGTGTGTCTGTGTGTGTGTCTCTGTGTGTGCATGTCTGTGTCTCTCCGGTGCCTGTAAATTCTGATAAGATACCAGGTAAACGTGCAGTCTTAACAAGTCAAATAATGCAATATATCATATATTTGTCACATCTGTAGTATATCTACTTACATGTGCAATCCTCCCATTTATGATGAGGTCACTTTCACTAGTTATACTGTCTTCTCACTCAGTTAATACCGTTAATACCGTAAACACTTGTAAACACTAGCTCCATAATATATTGTTATTTAAATATACCTAATTTTGTCTAGCACATATATATCTATTCATTAAGGGAATAGCAATCTGATGTACATCTCAAACAGCTATAACCAGTCTTCCATATAACCAAACAGAAAATAATAGAGAAATATTTCTCCGTAAAGTTCAACTCTTTCAGGGATGCCACCAGCTGTTCGCTGTTCACACAATTCGCATAGAAAACGGGAGAGTGTGTTTGGTGCAAAGTACGAAGGCGCCCGTAAAGAAATGATAAAAAATATTGTTTTAACATGTTTTATTCAATTTTGAAACGGATTGGGCACAAGTTATGTAATTTATTACCGCCCGCTCCCATCAGAAACGGTGTCTGCACAGGACGTCGACCCTTGGGTGAAATGTCACGGTTCAGTTAAGTAAAAAGGTCGACGTCCTGTCCATTTGACCGTAAACCAATTAACAGAAACATGAACAATAATGAATTGACGTAATGAATGGACATACTAATATTAAGACATATTATTCATTAATCGAAGCGCTTACTTCGTACAATGTATTTATGCACATGTCTAAAGATATTTTGTTGTAGAGGAGAGAGCATTCCATAAATTTGCAGAATCATAAATAAATGACTTTTGGAGAATTGAGGTGCGAAATTTAGGTACAGCCAAATCTGATTTGTTACGCAAGTTGTATCCGGAAATGGTTTCAGTAAAAGGATGAAGTAAATCTATCAGGTAATCAGGAGCTTGCATATTAACAATTTTGTAAAATGAGTTTTCTCTGTGTAAAAATATATATATCAGAATATCCAGTGACACGATTGCACATTTACTTATTTTTTGACACTTAAACATATACATGTAGATTTATTGTGAATTAAATCTGCTGTGCATTAGTGAAGAGATTCTGTTCCTTATAGATAAAGAAGTAAAACAAAAAATATGTTTGTATTGCATTTACATGTCTAAGTCCAAACATTTCTCTTGAAGCGATATATAAGTACTAAAGAGCTTACAATGAAACTCAGGGGCTTGAGTCCACCAGCAGAAACACAGACCCAGTAACGAATTTGTTTGACGTTTTTAAACAATACTTTACTTAAAATAACGAAATATGTGTCTTTATGGATATCAACTTCATGTATATTGCACTGATCGATGTTTCGATCAAGTTAAAAGTGATTACAACCAGGTGATGAGAGGTGTATGCATTGCATGTTGTAGCAAGCAGTAGATTAACATTAACAACAATATGTTAATGTTAACCTGCTGCTTACTACACCACAGTCTTAGTTATTGACTCACCAACTTCTAGAATGCCGATGAAACAATTACTTACCATTTAGCTGTTAGATTCAGACACTGTGTTACATCCGTGGCCTCTTAGCGTGATATGAAGGCATGTGATTTTATTATAGACTGTTAATAGGTTCAGTTTATCGTTGGTTATTGGTTGATCGCTGTAGTACAACCCATAGTGAGTGGACTTGACAGATACAGCTAGCCAACAGCAAACGGATTTAACCCTCTGCTGCCAGCCTGTTGTTACCATAACTGCCCAGATAGAACACTGGACAATAGTGCAAGCACAGTGAGGTGCCCCCTAACAAATACTGTTAGCGAGCCAGAAGAACGGAAGTAAGTCTACATATATTTACTCTTCATGGGGACGAGTTTCGTTGTATCGTCACGTGGAAGTCCGTGTTTGCACATAGAGATCTTGTTACGTCCATATATGTGTGCTACCCATCATTTGTTCAATATACTGACGTAAATAGTAACTGGGTTTCTTATTTCATATACTAAAAATATATATGTTTCTTATGAAAATGAAATATATACTTTTATTATCTTCCATTGCGGAGATTTATAAGATTACATCAGAAATAGAGACTCAGTCCTCTTTCCACCGTTCCATCAGTACTGGAAGACAGTTTGTGTTTTGTAGTACGTAGTACACATCTTGTACACGTACCGTACAGCAGTCAGTGTGAATTGTGATCCATCACTTTCACTTAAAGTGAAGTTAGGATTGCAGGATAATAGATTTAGAGTCAGGTCATCTTCAGACATATTGTGAAGAAAACACTGAAGTCAATTGGTCCAATATCGTCAAGTTCGCACCACAGATCATCCCGCACTTCATATGTATGTTCACATGATGTGAGAGAAAGGATCTGAAAAGGAGGTTAATAATACCACAGTGTTCGCACAGATACCCCTGACACTTTAACAGTTTGTAAACGGCTACAATTTTCATAAAATGCCCACAGAATGTCTAAGGATTGAATTCTTCTGCACAGCTACCCAACCTGGTGAACTGATAATGAAGAGTGAATGTGCTTGAATTCTTGGAGAAAGGTCCTGATATGGTCCATCAAGCCATACTTATCACAAAGTCTATAGATATCTGGTTCCAGACCTTGTTGATTTGGTGAACATCCATGGTGATAGCTGAGCAGTCGAGTGAGGAGTATCTTGGATTGAAGATATGACGTATCAGTTTTCAACGGCCTGCCGAAGAACAGTAGTTTTCGGGAGTCTATCACGCCTTTCAAGTGGCATAACACCAAGTAGACCCAAACAGACGCCAGTACGAGTTGGTTTCGGCAATCCTTGAACACACTTAATTATATATCTGTGTGCCCTCTCCAACATCGTAGTTTCAGTTTTTGTTTGTGCTGACCAGAGCTCACATCCGTATAGGGTCTTAGGCAGTGTTATTGCTTCAACGAGTGCGAGACAGGTTTTGGGACTGACAAACTGGGGACTAAATCAAGACCTGATGAGAATGTGTACATTGGCTCACATTGTCGTACAGGCATTCAGTGTTCTCCCTGCTGACGACATATTACCAGCTAGGGTTATTCTTACGTGCTTTATAGTGACTGTACGTGGCAAAGTACTACCATAAAGCGTGAGATCAGGGTCTCCTCTGCATTTGCGTTTGGCACATGGGAACGTCGTGATGTCTGATTTGCTACCAGAGAAAGTAAACCTCCATCGTCTGCTATAGTTCTCAGCTATCAGCAATAATGTCTTTTGACCACTGTTCGTGATAGTAATGCATGGCTTCCTGTAGATTAAAGGATGCTTGCAGGGACGCCAATCCAGGTTGATATGTCTGTTTGGTAAGACATCACTTTGCTTTAGTGCAGGTAGAAGAGGAAGCAGACACATTTCAAAGAGGCCTTCAATAACAGGAGTTGAAAGGGTACTGATCCGGACCGGTGTAATTACGAAACCGAGCTGCAAGCTTGTCAGTACCTGCTCCCTCGACCGTGACGAACACGGGGACTGGGCTACTGTCCACCTTGGCAGAATTTCTTCAAACTAAACAGTGGGACATTAGGAAGGGTGGATGCCCATCAGATGCCCTTATTTGCTAATATCCCTGATAGTTCTTGTCTGATGCAATAAAGTATCCAAGCAGTGTAGGCTTTTTTCAGATTTTCTAATGCCTGGATGGTATAATTACTGATCCAATATACCCCTAACTTACCCCTAATGCACAGATTATTTAATCCCATCTCATGTATTGTATCGCTATTCTATGATGAGTGGGGAATTGTCCTACTGGTTACAAAACACGTGTGGGGAAATGTCAAGATGTCCACAGGCAAACTGTAACGCAAAATAGGGTTGCGCAACAGAGAGAAAAATGACTAGTCTTCCTCTCTCGCATATACTAAGACTGGTCATTTTCTCTTTGTGGCGCAACCCTATTTGCGCTACAGTTTACCTGTGGTCTGTCATACAGACCCTGAAACAAATATACCCAATGCAGCCCATGCAAGTCTAGAATGTGTGGCAAACCTAGATTGCCACAGTTTTGGAAAATGAAGAAAGACTCATTTTTATTTTAATTCAATTAAAAACGTTTAAAATTTCTTCTGTAAAATGTGTTCATTTCAGAGACTAGATGTTAGTCTACGTTAGTGTTAAAGCAAGTAAACTGACAAATCTGATCGTAGAACATGGGATATTATCAAAAACTGTGAAAGGCCGGTGTAGCATTCATCGTAACGAAATGGTAAAATTTGAGTTACAACGATACCTACCATAAAATGTCGTCTCGTTGAAAGCTGGCGTTTTCTATCCGCGCCCTTGAGGGATGAATATTACCACATATCCAGAATCACATTGGGTGCGTTTAGGCTACACATACACTAATAGTACATTTATCAGAAATAGCTGTAAATGCAAATATTCATCTGTACAACTGTTCGGTCTGTGTTCATAAATAATAACATACTGTAACAGTTCGGTCACAATGACAGAGAATAATCAGTCTGGAATAAGAAAACGATCTCATGAGAAAGATTCCATTGAGCCTTATTGGCAAAATAGCAATGAATGGAAAATCATGACACCGGGTGTTTAGAAGGACAGGCATGCCCAGCCCAACCCTCAACTGCCGCCACTCACGCAGTGGTAGTTATATATTCTGGACAAAATTAGTTAGGGATATTGGTATTTTTATGATTGATATTATATCAGTTTGTCAATGAATAAATAGATCATTATTCATAATTTCAAAATTTACTTATATCCCTAACTATCTTTGTATATTTTACAATTAACATGTCGATAATGTTAATGTTCCTAGTGTTTCTCTACTAAGACTCGCTGGCCTAAGGCATATGCGAGACTGAAAATGTTATGTTAGATAAATTTGCAAAACATTCCTAGTCAAAAGTCAGAATCATTGGTCACTAATCTGAAACCTAGCCTACAGAACATCAGCCTGGTTCCCTGGGGCTGTTGCGCCTGCGCTACGCTCCGACTCAGTGTCGGAGCGTAGCGCAGGCGCAACAGATCCAGGGAACCAGGCTGACAGAACATCAGCAAAGAAACTGGTCCTCCGTGGAAACTTACAGCACCTCTGTTAAACTGTGTGGTTTCCCTTGCAACACAAATAGGCCAGTATCAATCACAAATGATTTCTGGTGTTAAACCCTCCTAATTAAATTGAGCATTTCAACATAAAAAATAATAAAGCAAGAATCTTAATCCCGAAAGCTGTTAAACGTTACACCATGGGATTCGTCTCAGTCGATGGTATTAATGAACGTTAGCAATATATTTCATTGCGTTTATACTTGTTCAAGAATTATCATAACGGGGAAAGAGTTAAGTGGGTTGGGAATTTATTTTAAAGCCAGTTTCAATCGAGATTAAGCACATTTATTACAGCAGTTTCACCGTTGTTGACGTAGCTGATCCTGTCATGTAAGTAGTGCATAGATAAATTATGGTGCCCTGTGTTATGCCCTTGTTTTTATACACCAGGTGAGACATAAGTAACTGCTTATATTTAGTATGCCATCACGTTATGCTAATGTATGTTGATACAATGCAGCGTTTTCAAACTATACACATGGAAAAAAGTATCGCAACACCACCAATATTTTTCAAAGTAGCAATGTCTTACTATTAACCATAGCAAAGAAACATCGATTTCAATTACTATCTGGATACATTGACCCTCAAGGAAAAATTAAATGGAAAACCTAAAGGTCAAAATAATCTTACAAACACAATTATTATGTGACTATATATAACTATATGTGGGTTAACATTACAGGTGTTTTCGCAACAGAATAATCAAATGTCAAAAATGTAAGACGGAGAAACAGACAAGAAATATATATTTATAATAGGCAAAAACAATGGTCGGTCATTTTTAAATCGGAATGTAATTATGTTGCCATGCCGATTCAATTATGGAACTATTCAATTACTACAACTATTTACTAGAACTGCCACGCTACAGTATGTATGCAGTCGAAATGAACGTTTAGGACTCTCTCATGTTCGTTTGCTTTGGTCTTGGGTGTGCTTTGTACATTATTAGGATGACGTTTGTTATCCATTGTGTAACAGTGTTTCAAGTGTATTGCATAGTTTCTATTGACATTTTGTTGGGGTAAGGGGGCGAGGGGCGGTTACTGTGCTATATTTAGATGGAAAGCCTGGAAGGTATTACAGAATAGTTACAGTATATGTATACAGTCAGACATCATTATTTAGCCTAGTGGGGTAGCCTAGTGGTTAAACCGTTCGCTCATCACGCCGAGGACCCGGGTTCGATTCCCCACATGGGTACAATAAGTGAAGCCCATTTCTTGTGTCCCCCGCCGTGATATTGCTGGAATATTGCTAAGAGCGGCGTAAAACCATACTCACTCACTCACTATATCACATTTCATTGTTGTTTGTTGCTTTACGACTGATTAACAATTGACTTGCCTCAGTGAGGTAAACTGGTGGTAACAGGTTTCTTTATCTGTCACAATGAGGTAAACCGTTATAATGTAATAATAGGTTTCGATGTGGTTATCTGTCACAATGAGGTAAACTGTTATAATGTGGTAATAGGTTTCGATGTGGTTATCTGTCACAATGAGGTAAACTGTTATAAAGTGGTAATAGGTTTCGATGTGTTTATCTGTCACAATGAGGTAAACCGTTATAATGTGGTAATAGGTTTCGATGTGGTTATCTGTCACAATGAG